ATGTATTAATGTATGTAATGTATGTAATGTATGTAATGTATGTAATGTATGTAATGTAATGTAATGTAATGTAATGGTATGTATGTATGTATGTATGTATGTACATAAGTGTTTTTGTAAGTAAATAAATGAAGGTGTAAGTAAGTAAGTAGGTAAGTATGTATGTATGTCAAATGTATGTATGTATGTATGTATGCATGTATGTATGTATGTATGTATGTATGTACGTATTTAGGCGCGACTAACCGTCTCTCAGCCTGGCGAATGCAAGAACAAGTACGCATCTATGCATAAGTACGTCGTACTTATGCACAGATACATGTTCTGTTATGTATATGACTAGTTATCTATTATCTATTGCACATCTAGTCTCTGTACGCACACATAAATACACACATATAGATGCCTCTATAATCTGCTGTAAAAGCCGTATGTACTGTGACCTTTACCAGCCTCCAACTCGATGGTGATCACTTTGGCGCTCGTCTCCAACTGCCATGAAAAGAGCGTCCATGGGCTGTTGGAGCTTCAATGATTCAATGAGGCATGTAGGAGTTGGCCACTCTGTGCTTCGAACCTGTCAGACGGTCCACACATGTCCAGCTACAACTAAGTCACTCAAGAGAGTCGCTCGCACTGTAAAGCCTGGGAACGACCCACGAAACCTTCAGCTCCCGATCCAAGGGCCGTGACAGGACTCCAGACCCAAAGATCTTCTCAATGCATGTCTGGGCGGGCTCCGTAGTCGCTGACACCCCGCAGCCTGGTGGGCAAGTCGTCTCTGACTAATGCACTTCAGAACAGAGACTATGCAGGCTGATGCAGGAACCGCATGCTTCGTCAAGCAGATCATACGCCTACATGAATCCAAAGCGATCTGGAGCCATATGACCACTTAGCCGACGGCAGGAAGATACGAGCTTCCTGAGTAGACGATGTGCAGTGCTGTCGCCGTGACTTGGGATGGCCATGTCGATCTGCATCTAAAGTTGTGTGTGCTTGTTATGTATCGAGTGGAATTCCAGGAATGAAGGGCCACTCGCTTGGGACATGCAGATGAATGCGGCAAGGCGGCAGCAGAGGCGCCGGCCTGTGATGCTAATTCCCACAAGCTGGCGGTACTTTAATCGTCACTTTTGTAGGGAAGCCCTACAATGCCTAACAGCACTGTAGTTACGAAGCCAGCTCTGTGTGACTACGAATTACAGTAAACGCCAAAAAGTTGCAAACCGGCTTAACGACAACGAGTGCTAATTCCCTATAAATTATGTTTAAGGATTGAGGCTATTGGGCTTCCAACTTTTGGGCCTCTACTGTAAAAGTTGTACTATTTGGTCACCCCACCCTGCAGATCTGTGTGCTCATGGCAAGCACCTGGCCTTGGGAAGGCGTGGTTTGATGTCTGGCACTAAGATGTCTGATCCCAGAACTGTAGGCCGAATGCACAGCAGGCGAAGCCGATCAGAAGCGCTTTGAGCTGCTCCCAGTCGCAAGCTTCGCAAACTGCATCCGCTCGAGGCCTCGTGCCGCCAAAGCACAGTGTTGTACCGTGCACAAAACTGATTATCTCACGATCTTCGACTGCCTTTGGCAGTCTTCCAAAGGACCGGGCTTCCTTGCTGGAAGCGTCAAAACCGCCATGGGCGTCTGATAGCGGCTCAGACACACCTTGCCGACTGCAGTACGTTTGGTCTCGTCTCCTTCTGTGTCAGCAAGATGGGCCCGGCCTTCAAAACACAGCCGGGAATGGCTTCCACGTGCCCCATTCAGGGTGTGGGCTCTTGCCAATCAATGCACTTGCCGTGCCATGAGCACGTTTGCTATTCTACAATCTACTACAAGACAATATGCTGCATTCCTCGCAGCAGGGCGCCGCTGGACGACTTCTGACGAGAATGATGGTGGTTGTGCGAGTCCCCTCGATGCTTCTACGAATCGGCGTGAGACAACTGCCGTGCAGCGCGTGCGCCACTGCCGGCTGCGGAGGGCCGGCGCTGGTCGCGGACGAAGGCTCGGAAAAGCCCCAAGGCCTTCCTCGGACGATTGCAGTTTAGACCGGTTTGGGCTTCGTCTGCCGGTTCTCTTGCACTGTCGGGTCGGCTAGGGATGCTTATCCCATGATACTTTGAAGGTGATCTTTGGCAGGTGCAGATACGTGCAGTCAGTACTCAGACTCATCAGCATGTCGTGTGCACGGGTTAAGCATGCCGTACTTGCATGACGAGGTTTCTTTCCGTTTGCAAGGCACATTTAGATGAACACCGCTCCAACTTTGGAACGAGATAAGTGAACTCCGAGCGTCTTAGAAGGAATGCCCGCCGTGGCATCCTGGCCGAAATCTACTACAAGGGATCAGTTTTGAATCGCTCTAAAGGTCCCTTTTTTAAAGGGCTTTACGAGGGCCTAGCAAAGGCGAAGTTGTTCGTTCGCCGGAACGAGGAGGATGTGAAGACGTTGACCTTTGATTGAGTAAGTTGCCTTCCGGATCCGTGCTTCCTGCACCTCCGCCAGTAGCTTACGCACACCGAACCTAACAGGCCATAATAAGGATCCAGATGAACCTCGAATCACTCGACATCTAGAAACCTCCAAGATTGCCCGGCAGAAGACATGCGTCAAACGATACCTGAAGACCGCTAGTAGTGTACACATGCTTACTAAGCCCAGAACCCCGAGTCCAGGCTAAGTTACGGGACGGGTGGTCATGTGACACTGCAGAAACATGACCTTCTCAACAAATCCACTTGGGCATACATGGGCCACGTGCCTTGAGAATCTTTCCGACCTCCGACGTGTTCACACCCAAGAAGGCAGCTGGGCTCTGTCTTGCTACCTATGCAAGGGGGGAGGGGTAGACGCTCAGCTGTTTGCAAATGCTTCCTACTTCGTACTTTCCCAGAAGGTATCAAGTTATACATTACATGGCCCCCGGTACAAATGTGGCACTACAGACGTGAACAAACCGCAACTGAGGACTTTTCCAACGGGCCTCCAGAGCATTCTCGGTGAAGCAATTCTCCGCCCAAGGGTCTGCGCCGGCAGCGACCAACTCCTGTCAGCGCTTGTCTGCGCGAGCGACAAAAACCCACGCCACGTGTGGACAGCAAAAAAATCAAGTCCGTGTGAAAACGCTAAGCCGCTATGCAGCACGGACATGTCATCTCGTCTTTCCGAAGCTATCGCTGCCACGCACCTTGGCAGCTGCAGCGTGGCCGGCCAATGCTGCATAGTGCAGTGGTCGATCCTTCATGTCATCCTCGCGGTTCAGAGCATAGCATCGCTTTTTTTGTGATTTGGAGATCGAGTGTATCGGGCGGTTGCATTTTCGTGCGAAGATGTGCAAAGCAGCTGTACAGATCGATGGGATGGGATGTTTGCACTGGGCGTCGCTGTTTTGTGCTTGAGTTGCTGGCACAAGGCGACATGCATTGCAGGACTCACGGCTGCTAGATTTTACGCCCTTCTCTACTTCGAGGAACCCAATGATCCATCCCCAAAACACTGCAAAACTGACTGCCCGCAAAACCATCAACAAATCAATTTGCATGCCTAATCCCGCAAACGCCCGACCTCAACGTTCGGATCCATCTTCGCCTCCAACAGAGCCTGGAAGCACTTGGCCAAGTGAGAAGGGTTGGACATGCTTTCAAAGACTGTTCTCACCCCTACACGCCGGGTGATAGAAGCTAGACTCGCTAGACTGTGCGCAACTCCGACACGTGGAAGTCCAAACCCTCAAAGCTGAAGCCGTCCTTTGTCGCCTCAGCTGCTTCAGAGCGGCTGTCATGGCTGACCAAGATCGGCACGCGATGGCGATGTGCAAGGGCATCCTCGCTTTGGGAATTTTGGCACTGGTGCCTTGCCTTGGGGGAACACGCTGGCAGCTTTCCTCCCAACGTTGTCTTTCATGGTGTCGCTGGACAGCCGCAGGCCGGGCAGGCTGCAAATGTCCTTGATGGCCTGCACGTCATCATTCCTTCCGCAAGCATGGAAGAATCAGAAGGTGAGCAGGAAATCGTCTCGGAGCCAAAGTTGGCCACGCACTCGAAAACGGTGCTCTCGAACTACCTCGTTTGCTTTGCCGGCTTGTCCTGGCGGCTCTTCGCAGGACGGGGCCGGCAAGCCACTGGTGAAGCCCTTGGAGATCGGTGGAACCCATGTTAGGTTGCTTGGAGTTTCGGCATAAACGGCATGTCAAATGTCACAGCACACCAAACTTTACTGTACAGGCACAGCTCCAAACCAGAAGCTCCTCGCTGGTCGCAGCCAAGCCACGAAGTAAGCCGCGATAATAGCTGTTGTTGCTCTCCACGACCTCGCCATCTTCATCCTGGGCTCTCAGGATGTGAGTCAATGCTCTGATGCAGCATCGTAGCACGATTCGCCCTTGGACCGTCCTTAGGAGATTCAGATTTGCGATGTTTGTCACGGCAGAAGTGCCGCCAAGACACTTCTTCCTCGTCAGCGCCGCTTAGCAGGCTCTTAAGCAGTCGGTAGATCACCTGGACGTCGAAGTCGCCATGAACCCAGTTTCCGCTTCGAAAGGCCTGGCTGCAAGCCAGCACACCATCGCTGCTGGCAAAGTAGATGCCTTTGTCCGTGCCCACCTGAAAATTGGCCATGTAACTCATACACTCTGTGATAGCCACAGCCGATAGCAGCCTATCACCCGGCCCTACCTCGAAGATCATCTGACCGATACTTATGTTGATTGTCTCATCCTCTTGCAGTTCGGAGGATTTGGAGAGTTGACAGATGATGCCCTCAACCTCGGTCTTCACCGACTTCCAGCACACTTCGGCATCTTCATCGTCATCGTGTTGGTTCACTCCGAGAATTTCCACAAAGAAAATCGTCGAGTCTGGCAGGTGCTGCGCCTCTGCAAACAGCTCTATAGCAGACATTCGCTCGTGCCAGAAGTTGCTCGAGGAGAAAGTCACTGCATACTGCCTCAGCTGGTCTTGTGAGAAATCTCAACACCTCTCAAAACTCGTGCGCACACACACACACATATACACACGCTCGCTCACTGATGCTCCATGCTTTGGGAAACCTTTGCTGATGTGAAGAGCAGGCGACGGTTTTTGGGGCCCATCGGCCACAAGTTCCATATAAGAACAGCTGCGCTCCTCCGTTAATTCCTTCACCCACTCAGACACATGCTCAATCCGCAGGTGCTCGAACTCCACGGGTCCCTCGCGCTCCACGTCCAAGCCTCCCGTCAATGCAGCCACGAGAGCTGTGCTTTGTATCCTGTTTAGTTTCAATCCCAAGGACGCAAGACCGCTTCCACACAACCCTTCCGTCACTGTTTCCGCAGCCTTCCGCGCTTCGAAGCGTTGGCACGTTTCTGAGTCACTGCATGTCGTCCCTTCCGCGTGCCCTTCCGCGGACCGTTTTGCAAGCGAACCCTTCCGCAAGAGCATAAACCCCTCTTGACGTATTACGCTGACTCCTTTCGGCAAATGCGGGCCGCATCCGTTCCAGGCAACAGGACTTCCACTTGCCTCGCGATTCCTGGAAGAAGACCTGAACCCTGGAAGAGTACAGGACAGTAGCTGATTCAAGTTAAGTCTCGTTCGACTGACGTATTCTTCTGGCACGGCGGCTTACGTAGTTGTTGCTTCCGCGCCCTTCCGCGGAGCAACACTTCCGCTGCCCTTCCGCGTCCTTCCGTGCGGTCCCAGAGAGATTTTCAGATCGAGTCAAAATTTTGTGTCCAGCTGTAGTCTTCCGTCAAGAGACGGGAATGTAAAAGGCACGCTGCTCGACGAGATGCTGCCCCAACAAATCCACTGAAGCTGAGAATCATGAGATTGCACTGCTGCACAGTCATGCACCACTAGTCACCAGCGGCTTTCCCATGGTCTGATCTGAAGTAATCACCGTCATCAAATCCTGATCCTCTGTGGGCATGTCTGGCGTGGATAGGACTTGGAGATGGGTGCAAGCTTGTTCAGTCAAGGAACGCTCAAACCACGGACAATCCTCGTCATCATCACGCCATGGGCAGCTTGCCTGCAAGGCACATTAATTGGGAGCACGCTCGTGAGAAAAAGTCCCGTTGAGAGCCCTCGATGCATGACCCTCTGCCTCCAACTTCACCGTGAAGACGCGTAACTGGTTCAAAGTCACACCGCGCAGGGCCATCTCTGCGACCTGGCATCGTGGTCCAGAAGACGATGAGCATGGTATGACAAGCGTTTGCCGGAAAGATTGGGCAAACTGCACTTCTAGTTAACGGTTGCTTCTCAAGCCATGGTCAAAACCCGGCAAGAGGCATGGGCCGGGGGCCTCGCAGCCTTTGGCCTTCTTGGGCAATCCGAGATTCGCCATAACGCGAAGACGGACCATCATGTTCAGATCCTCGAAGCGTTTCCTGAGACTCACGAGTGCTGGGATGTTCAGTTCTGTCTCTTCGTCTGTGGCGCAGCTCTTCGTTCCATTCACTTACTTCAAGCTTCCGTGGTCCAGCTAAGCTGCGCGTGCTTTTTGAAGAGGTTGGCTTCGTGGGCGTACTCCTGCTCACCTGCTTCCGGAATACTATGCCACTATGCCCCACTACCATGCGCTCTCCACTATTGGCCGCTATCGAAGAGAGTCCAAGCCGGCCCAAGTCGTACCCAACAATCCACCGCTGGTGACAATGCACAACAATCCAGAACTTGCCCCTCGAAAGGGATGACCCGTGGGTCGAGACACCGTTGGACCGGTTCGGCCAACTGGGATCTTTGGCATTCCCGTCGAGACAAGGGCGTCCCATTTTGTCCAGGACCATCTGACCATCGGCGTCCTGCAACAGTTCTTCTCGCAACGAGATGCTTTAGCATGGAGCGTGTCGAGGCATACAAGATATCACCGATCGACAACCCGTAGGGCCATAGAGCCACGTGAGAGGTCCCGTGGTTTGGAGGACTGAGCTGACAGCTTCGGAACATGGGAAGTTTCGTGAATGAATCCCCACCGAGAAATTCGTTCACAGGTAGAGCTGCATCCCTGTCGGCTCCTTCTTCAGGCCTTCTAACTCGTTGACCTTCGCCTGACTGTGCGAGTCTTGCGGCGGTTGGCTTGGGCCTTCCTTTGGCATTCGCCCAGGTAGCTCCCCAAAGTAGGTATGTCTCTGCACGACAACCGAGATTACAGGATAACTGAATGACTGTACAGATTTGCCTTCATATCGCTGGTTTGCCATCATTTGTGGAGGGATTGATCCGGATTTTGCAGTTGAGCTGCTACATAGTTGAGGATCTGCCTGCGATATTGCGGATCTGAGGCTTCGCTGGAGCGAATGTCCCAGGTCTTCACGGCCTGGGTCAGTCGAACACTTCTAGTCCACTGCCACCATTTCTTCTTCTTCTTCGCAGAACATGTTTCGGACTTGCATCTTGGATTTCTGATCAGTTCAACCCCTGACTGGCCTCGACCAACGGCCCCCCAGAAACATAGGTGGAACCGACACGCCCCGCAGAGGTGTAGAGGACAAAGTCGATGTCGTTGTTAGTGGTGTAGTGCACCTTCTCTGAGCAGAGCACAAAAAGGGCAGCCGGGCAGCTGCGCTTCCAAAAACCTTCGCTCAAAAATGCTGAAACACTCAGAGTGCTCAGGCCTCAAGTCCGCACCACGTTCGCGTCAGCGAGCCGGCCTGTGCCGCAAGAGCTCTTCTCTCCCTGGTTCTTTGCCATTCACAAGGCCTGGTAATCGACGACAAGAACCGTGAGGTCCACCGTCTTCAAAGTCCGGATGAAGGGGCAGTCCTCGCGACTGCAACTTAGATCGTTCTGCTCTTCACAGACTGCTTTTCCATGGCAACATCGAAGTTTTGCGGTTCACTGCTATGCATTATGCCGTTGGCGTTTGCAGAAAGTTATGAAAGACTTGGAGAAAATGCTCAGAGAGTCAGTAACGCATCAAGGCGCGCTATGCATCCAGGCAAAAGCCGAATTTAAATACTCGGTTTGGACACATCTGTACAATCCACCAGCCACCCTCCATGCTGAGGGTTCTCACGTGTTGTGTTGTGGGTCTTGGACGCAGGCACGCAGCTGAAAACAAGAAGAAAAGCCTGCAGGCTGCCGAGGCTCTCATGAATGCAGCCTAGGGCTTAGGAGTAGTACCCTCTCGCTTAGTGCAGGAGCGGTCCATGAGCTTCGAGCCAAAGTTCTCTCCGAACTGGCAGTTCGCGAAAGTGCAGATCCAAATGGGGGTGTAGATGCCTTGGCAAGAGACTCAAGGAGAGCTCAAGGAGCCTACACGGGCCTACACCACCTAGACTCCCTGGACTCCCCAAACTAAAGCGGCGGTGCTCAGGGCCCGGTCCATGGTCATCTTGTCCACTGCCTGCATGAAGTCCATGAAGCGTCCTCACGCGAAAGACTTCAGCGTTTGAGGTCGGGCGCCGTCCCTTGCCACCTTATGCAGATTCGATGCAGTCCTCCCCACCAATGGCTGAACATGATCTTGGCAGGCTGAGGCTCCTCCGCCACGAACTCCACCCAGCTGTACCTTCCAAGGCTTTCTGCCAGTGGGCAAAAGGGGATCAGCAATGACATAAGCACTGAGCTTGCAGCCAGAATGCCAGCGCCGATCTTCATCCAAATGCTCTCCCTTGGGGTCGACGTGTGGGATCACCTTCTTGATCACCTCGTTGGTGATGTGATACCTGCAGTTCCATACATCAAACATCATCAGGCCACATCTTCACCCATCATGCACATGGCAAAGACATGAATTCCAGCGTTCACAGCCAGGGAGCATGTTGAGGCTCGTCCATGGGATCAGTTTTCCGTGGCTTGCTTTTTTCTTGGAGTGGTCTGTGGTGTGCCTTGGCGGGCATCAACACAAAGCGGACTGCTGCTTGATGGATCGCCACTCTGGAGAAGGGTAGGTCAGGGAGCTTCAAAACGGCTTTCCGATTCCCGCTCTGATTTGCTGCAGAGAGAGAAGCAACGATCGCTGCATGTCAGTTTGTCCTCTCCTGCTGCGATGTCTGAGCTAGATTTCTTCGCAAGGCAGGTTCCCACAGAGCCCCTCCGGAACCCACCTCATCATTTTCACAACCGTTTCGACACGACATGATCTTTCAACTTGAAACCGAGTTGCTTCAGCAGCTCCGTTTTGGTCAGATACTGGAGAAAAGTCCGGAGGCTGCGCAGCTGCTTCACGGTAATAGCACGCTCTGCGACATCCTGACGAACAGACGGCACATTCTCCCAAATCCAATGTCCGACACCAAATTCATGCACACGTTTGCACACCAAGACAGTGTAGCTTCAAGGATTCAAGACGTGGACGACCTTCTGAACTTCGGTGCAAGCCCGCCCTTGTCCCGGTGGGCACGAGCTGAAAACCGGCCTCGATGATGCAGCCGGTCTTATCTTGCCGGGCTGCTTTGCCGCCTTCTTCCTCCGTCTCCCCGTCCTCGCTGCTCGCTTCGTCAAGGTCTCCTACGGATCGCTGGTAGATGCCATCGAGGCGGGCATCCAGATCTTTCCACGGCAGCACCATGAGGAGGCGCAACTTCGCGAGGTCTTCACTTGATGCAATGAGGCTTGCAGGGTCCAGGGTTTTGACGTGTGAAGCTTATGCTCAGCATGGCCTGACGTGAATCGTGTGCTTGCTCTGCAGCATGGTAGTTATCGCTGCAGCCATGTGCGCAAACGCTGGCAGAAGAAAGTTGGAAAAGCAGTACCAAAGGTCATGCTGATTTGCACAAATGCAGTTTCCTCGGGTTTCTGCAATTTGGGAGCTAGGGGAGCTTCTGAGTGCCAAGAGGTGGCAAGAGGTCGAGGCCAACCCAAGTCTGCAATCGCCTTCGGCTTGGCTGCCACCGGCGGCTTCTTCATCTTCTTGTCTTTGAAAGGATTCTGCCAGGTGAAACACAGGGATCACATTATGGAGAAGGCAAGATTTCCTAGCAAAGCCGCGCCACCCCTGCCCCTGAAGAACGGCCCTGTCATGGTACTTGTAGGACCTTCTTCTTCTTCGTCTCCTCTTTCTTCGGTGGGTGCAGGATGGCATCGGCACCCTGGCGCAACAGGCGATTCAACTGCTCCCGGACACGATGACGACTGCAACAAGAGGAGGTTGCTAGCGTAACACAGGGATCTGCGAAGAAAAGAAATGACGCATCACAGGAATAAAGCTCCAGAAAACCGACAATGCAATGAACTGACGGCTGTTGCCAAAAAGAGTTGCACGTGTCCGTCGCCGAACGCATCAGGCTGTTTCACATGAGGTGACACTTTCCACATCCGAATGTTGCTACGAGTACCAATAGTTCTGTCATCTGTCATCAAGCGCATCGTCATTGTCATAGTTCTTGCCAGCATCATCATCATTATCATCATCATCGTCATCATCATCATCATCATCAGCACCACCATCATCGCCAGCATCATCCCCAGCAACTGTCGCTGCGATGACGCAGGCGGCCCAATGAATAACTAAGGCATGATTGAAAAGTATTCACGCAACCAACGTCTCTTTTTGACACGTCCGCACTATTGGAACTGTAATGACGAAAGCTAGCCAAGAAAACATGAACATACTTTCGCACGACCAAGCAAACTTCATGAATTGTGTCTTATGCAGTTTTAGGCGGAGCACTGGCTAAACTCGAAACCTGATCTTCCAAGAGCTCCAGCAAGGATTCTTTGTCCACGCGCCCCTGACCAGGGCAAAGGTTGGACAGTTAGCCGTCTGGGCTGACATCAACAGGCACATCGGACATATCAGAGTTGTGAGACGTTGTTAGGGCCTGCTTGTCTAACTGATGATGGCAAATGGCAAAAGAACGCCTCACAGTTCAGGCCCAGCGCGATCATCTGCTTGCGGAGGTCACGAGCCTGCAACACAGCGAAAGGCTTTAGCAAACGGCCGTTTGCAGCGGTGTCGTGCAGATCGGTTTTACCTCAGGACTGAGTTTTTCGGTGGCATGGGTCGGCCATAGAGTCTGAGTCATAGACTGTGAGAAGGAGGATGCTGTAGGCTGCTGTGACAAATGCTTCCGCTTGCCCGGTTGCACGAATGCGGGAAGTTAACGAGCACAACTCACCTATCCAAGCAAAAGCAGTCCTACAATTGGCATGTGTCTAGCCTAATCTCGACAAAAAGCAGAAGGCTATAACGAGATGGTCGGAAGGTTGGCCTCGCAAATGCCACAGGAAGGACTCTGAGCCGATCGTACAGAACAACCCCCCCAACCCAGTGCTTCAGTGAGAACATCTCACCAAGCAGACTCAAAGGCGGGGAGCACCTTGAGCGCTCGAAGCTCCTCCAACTTCTGCTGCACCTGGGATGCAAAGCAGGGCTTCGTCGAGGGAATCAAGGCATCTTCGAGGCCTACCCCCGGAAATTTGAGCCGGCCTCGGGCGGCAGCTCCTCTGGCTTCGCGCTCTCCGGTGCTGGGCTCTCCTGGCGCAATGGAGCAGGGACCGATAGAGGCGCATGTGGGCCTGGGGTGCAGGGTCCCTAGAGGCCTGGAAGCAATGATACGTGTTGCCTGATTTTGAAGACTCCTCGGCTGAGCTTGTTGGCTGTGGATGCCGGTGGAGAGTGAAACCTACAAGAGTGCAATTCCCCCAATCAGATTCTGCTGTCACTGTTGTGTACATAATGTACGCCGCTGTCACAAGCGGCTTGTTCCCCGGGCACCTCACAAGTCCGAGAGGTCAGGCGACGGTCCACCCATCTTCTGCGTCTTCCGCAACCACTGTGGCACACCCGCAAGGTGATCCTGTGGCCACTGCTTTGAGGCAGGAATATCCGGAGCCTTTTCAACAATCGGCTCCGCTTTTTTCCGCTTCCGCTCTGGCTTTTCTTGGATCGGCTTCTTTGCTGGCTTGCCGGTAGCCGCCTCGGCCTTCTCCTTGGCAAGCTGCAGAGCCAGTGCTCCTGGCTTCTGCATTTCTGTCTTGTCGGAGACGTGTCTACGGTAGCGGTTGTGCATGGACTGCCAGCTGTGCTTCGTGACTTTGGCTCTTTGTGCTCGCTCCCAGAGCTCGCGGCCCTGGGGTCGCAAACCTGGGTTGGACTTCACCCAGCGGATCAGCGCAGCATCATCCTCTGCTGTAAACTTCTTCCTCTCTGCCTTGACCTTCCCTTCTCGCGGCCCGGCACCATCCGCACCAAGGATGCCAGCTGCTTTCTTTTTGTAAACGATGTAGTCTTTCACCTTCTGCAATTGTCCATTTGCCACTGAGTCGAGGATGAAGCGTGAGGAGACAGCCGTGCGATCTCCAGCAGGTGGGGATCCCTCGGGAATAATGTTGATGACATGCTCCGTGGGCTTCTCCACGAGACAGCCACCGCCTTCCCTTACCATGGTCCTGAGCCTTGCGCCATCTTGGCACGGAGGCACATAAAAGCTGAGCTGCTTCCCCACCTCCACGAAGATCTCTGATGGCGGAGTGGCCTTTGCCTCCTTCTTGAGCTCCCGCAGCTGGGAGGCTGCCATTGCCGGCTTTCCGCGCTTCATGATTAAGCGAATGGTGGGGTCACTTGCCTCCCTATGCCTGCATCATCCACATGCACCCACATCTCCACCGTGTGTCATATCCGTCTTGGAAACATGTCATGTGCGCGGACTTGACCCGCCTGCCTCATGTCTGGAGCCACACGCACACAGAATCGGAAGCGGCATGACAGCCTTGCTCGCTCCAGTGCAAGATCCCCGGTCCAAAAGCCATGACGAGTGCAAGATCAGGACCTCGGCGTCAGTGCCTTCCTCTCCGGAGTGGCCCGTTGAGAGCACCCTGAGCAGAACAGAAATTGGCATCAGAGTAATGTACCTCCTGCTCCGACTCTCTAAACTGCACGTAAAGCACGACGCACAAAAAGGAATGGCCTGCGACCTTCCGTTTCCAGAAGCTCCACCAGTGACCTCTCAGAGGCTCTTAAGTCCCAGCGTCTGCTCCGGCTGAGTCTGTGCGTGCTGCCTGGGACCGTCCTGGGACCGGGGCTCCCGGTCCACGCGGCCGCGCGTGGAGAGGCCCAGGCTCTCGAGCTGTGCCCGGAGCTCCCGGACCTCCGACTGGCAGAGCGAAACACATAGCGAATATCTGGCCCTTTCATGTGGGAAGCGAAGCGGCCTGGGGTTAGCCGAAACCGAGGCCTAAGCACGCAGGCTCTGCATCTCCTGAATTCGCTGATCGAGCTCCGACCTGAAAACACGAGTGCTGAACACCTCTTTTGCTTTCGGTGCGATCTCTTGTCGTTCTTGATGAACTCTGATCTGTGAATCGAGAGTTATGGCAATCTACAACTACACAGGAAGGGCTTGTGGCACGACGTCTCCAGGTGCCCCGCAGGTCAAGCACTTTGTCCTGGACACCTGCGCGATGCACTAAGGTTGTCTTTGAGGATGTCTGCTGAAGCTTCAAAGCGGAACGAGAAATTCAGAGAGCAGAATGTGCTGCCGGTGCCAATCCAGGGGGCCAAGCAGTGATTGCAAAACGATGGGCGTCCTGCTGCGAAACTCTGACGGCCTTGCCGCAGGATGATCCGCCGGCGCCATGCGGAACTCGTGGCCGCGATCGTGAAGCCGGCTGCCTGAGCTTCGGCATGCTTTGCGGATCAGTCGCTGCCTGGAATCTGAGACCAAGTTTGGAACTTGGCTAACTTCTGTTATTACTATTACTATTATTGTTATTATATTATTATTATTGTTATTATCATTGTTAATATTACTATTAATATCTGGCCAAACTTGTAACAAAAGGGAAAAAACACCCATGGCATGCCGGGCTCCGAGCCGAGACGACTTGTCGACACCATGGCCTGCCTGTGGGAAGGAAGCTGTAATCCCCTGCCTTCCCCTTTGATAATAGTAATAATAGTAAAAATAGTAATAATAGTAGTAATAGTAATCATAGTAACAATAGTAATAATAGTAACAATAGTAATAATAGTAATGATAGTAATAATAGTAAGCTGGTCGTCACCCCCTTTCCAAGACTAGGGGTCCATGTCTGCACATGTTGCAGTCTTCATGCTCGCTCCTGGCAGCTCCTGGGTTCATAACTGTTTGGATTCTAGATACTCTGCTAATTCTCCCAACTCTGAACTCCTCTTAAACCCAAGCTGGGAAAAGAGTGGGAGCGGGAGCTTGCTTCGATATATACAGCCGGAAGGTTCAGGGCACTCAGTCCCCGAAGGGATTCCGACAGTAGCCCGCGCTACACGCTATCGGTTCTACACTGTTGCCAAACTCTGCTCCACGCTGTCATCTGCTGCTTGACTCTGTCCAGAAGGGAACTTTCCACACTGGAAGCTCTTTCGGAACAGAAGTACCGACTGAGTTCAGGGCTGACCTTAAAGGAGTTCGAGGAGCGGCTTCTGAAAAGCTCTGAAGCAACCAGGCAACCTCCGGACCCGTTTTGGCCCCTAAAAGTTGATGCGCCTCGGCTCGCCGGTGTCCTGGACGGCGCTGAGGGCACCGGTGCCTGGTATTGGGTGCTTTGGATTTCATGCTTTAGATGCTTTTGCATGTTGGTGCAACATCGGAAGGGGCATGACGCGCATGGTGGAGTTCCTGGCAAATGGGGTTCTGAGCACGCTGCGCTCGGTCTGAACTCCGGGGACAGCCTGGTTGACACAACCGCTTGCGCTCGAGACGAACCCGTAGATAAACAAGCGAAGGCCACCTAGACTTCAATCAGCTCAGCTACAATGATGTGATGGCATCAGCCCCTCTTTCTGTGGCAAGCAGTTGGGGGTGGGCAGCGGCAAGCCAGTCTGCGTCATTAGAGTGTATACCCAACGAAGTCTGCGCAGCTGGGACATGCTAGAATCTGCTAGAAGCTACAAATCTTCTGAGCTTCTGAGCACCCCGCATCGCCATCGGAGAGTGGAGCTCCATGCCGGGCCCAAGCTCGACGAGTTACTTCTTGAAGAATCTCCACAGCTACTTCACACGGTCTACGACGTCTATGAGGTTTACGACGGAGAGTACAAGTCAAGCTGGTCTCGTGCATTAGGTTGATGTTGGTGGTTGGTGGACTAAACACGAAGATAAGATACTCCAAACTACCTCTTGACCATCAACTTACAGAAGACATCCCGTAGTTTTGTCTAGGCTGGCGCTAGCCTCGAAGATGAATACTTGAAGATCTCAACTTAGGAATGATTTTTAAGTTTGCATGTAAGACACTGAATGATGCTGCGGCCATCACCAGCAGCGAAAATGAATTGTTCCAGCCGGTCCGTGCTAGAGACCTGTGCCATCATGGGATTCTGAACCTTGTTTAGCTGGCGACACCCTTCGCGGAACAGGCTTCTTCTTCGGGTGAGGACGGCTCCAGCAACTGTTCCGGACTCATAGCTGTCCGGCTGTCCGACTCTGTCTCACACCCCGCCATTCTCGCAGTGTAAAGATGGACAAGTCTCCGTTCGGTGCCTGAGCTCAGTTCTGCAAACTCGGGCCAAACATCACTCCATTGCCCAACACGTGCGCGCAGGACCGGGCTTTCACAGCAGGGTCTTCTAGGATCAGCCTTCCATCCCGGCACAGAAATACATGTCTTGTCCACAATGGTCGCATTCGTCATCTCTGAAGTCGGGTGGAACTTCTCGCACTTTGCAACAGGCGTCCCACCATCCTTCGACTGCACACGTGAACTCGGCCTCGCCTCCAGCGCTGCCCTTGTTTCCTGCCGCGAAGGCGGCTTTGCAATAAGGATTTCTGTCCGAGGTGTCGAGTGGACAATCATCACCTTTGCCCTGACCGCGTGGGCAGGAGATGACAATGGAGGAAACAATTTGGGTGCAATAGCTATGCTGGAGCTGATTGGGGATCAGACCGCTGGCATAGATACCTCCCATAATGAGCAGCTTCAGTGGGGCCGTGCCAGGATCCGACAGTACTGCACCATGGACAAGGGTGTTGATGGCGCTGCCGGCCACAGTGTTTTTCAAATCACTCTTGTCGATACATGTCCGCTTGCAGTGGCCCGGAACCTTTTCCTGGCCCTTGTAAAACTTGTAGAATGCAGGAAGCACGGTCCTGAGTGGCTCGGTGCGACAATCTTTGTGTGTCTCATTGCCAAGCACAAGATCGGACAGATCATTCTCATGCCTGGAGCGAGCTGGCCTCGCTCCGGAGACTATCGTCATGAGCGCTGCCATCATTGCCATGCTCACCACCGAGCGCAAGGTCTTCATGTTGGAGATGGAACCGGAACTGCACAGACAAGTGGTCACTAACTTAGACCTAGGGACTTTGACCTTGGGCCCAAAGTCGCCAAGAACCGGGAAGCCTTGCAGTGTGCTTCTTTCTTCAGGCTGAGTCTCTACTGTCTTTGATGTAAAGGTGCACATTTCGTTTTGTTGGCCGCACTTGTCTGTACACGGGTCGACCTGGGGACCTGTGATCCCGAACCTCAGCCCGCACAACTATCCATGCAGTAAGTGCGCGGTAAGGCAGCGAGCGATCTTTCCTTAATGCCTATCCCTAGCTCCCAGTGCAGTAGACGCAAGGTGGGGCACATCGCTAAGATGCAGACTCTCACTTTGTCCGCTTCCTGCACACCAGAATTTATCCACCGCGCCAGCTGCTCGGCTCTTACCAAGCAGTATCCTACCGCTGCCAAATTTGCTTCGAACTCCCAGTAATCGAAGTAGCAGGCGTGACGGGCAGGCCACAGAAATGTGTTGCACTCTTTTGCCGGCGCTCTGGCTCTTGCTTTGTGGCATCTTCTGGGATCTCGTCCTGCTCAAGATGAGCGTTTTGACAAGCACTGAAAGACTGGCTGACTCGCATGGCGCTACTTGTGTGCAAACATATGTACCGGTACCGTGTGATGCCAGACCACTGCATATCATATCATATCATAGCATACGATACCGTACAGTACAACAGAAGTCAATGCTATCCTATGCAACCCAATACAAGACAACAAAACACATGGCTACACAAAACCACACCACTGCAGTACAACAAACACACACACATATATATATATATATTAATATATACACACATACATACCGTGGTTCTCATGCAAACACGTACTGGAACAGTGCAGCGTTCGAAAGGCTCCAAAAAACTGGTTCAGCAAAGTGACACCCGGCCTCCTTGAAGCAGGGCAATGGCTCGGACCGGCGCTGGACCTCTGCCCGCCTCAGAGCCATCAGTCTCAAAAGCGGCTTTCTACTTCCAGGCCATGAAAGGAGGCGTTTACAGATGAGGGTACATAGACTGAAGTGCTTCTAGATTGCAAATGCTTACTGTGATTCAGCGGTCGCACAGGTCACGAATAGCGTGTTCGGCGATGATCCGGCACGTGTGGCATGGGTGATGCTAGTTTGTGCCCCTGGAGTGAAGGACTTTTTTGTCGACCATTCATTAATCTTTGACCCCCCCATAGCCTTGAACTAGTGGCCCAAGACTCCAGCTTTTTTGGGCTGGATCTCTTCCGCGACTGCGATGCAAGTGGCAGCACCGACACAGAGACGGAGTGACTTTGAGCCATCCAACGAGGCAGTCTGTCGGAGGTCACAGGTCACATAAAGACTCTACGATGCCGATTCTGAGAAGCTTGCGACAAAAAAGATCCGAGCAGTCGTAAGTCTGTTCTAGGCAGGGGACTTCAGGTGCCAGGCATGAGCATGAGGATGACCCTTGTCGCCTTCGAGGTGGCCCACCGCAGCATACCTCCAGGGTTGCGTCCGTGAAATGCCGCTAAGATACATGATTGCCCTCTACATCTGCGCAGCATGGTCTGCAGCTGCACTGCAGTCTGTGCCTGCATATCTCAAACCCTGCGGCTGTCAGCGCCTCCTGACAGAAGTTCAGAATTGGGCTAAAACGTGCGATCCTCGGCTGCTGGACGGCTGCAACACCACTTTGACTCGATTGGATAAGAATTCGAGCGTTGACTCACGCCCCTTCTGTCCTCAAAGCGCCGTCGCTGTGCGGCGCCCGTTGGGCCAGTGGGTGCCAGTGAGGTTTTCCTCCCGAAAGCATCAATAATCATCCGAGAGCATGCCGAAGATACGGCAGTCGGATTCGCTGGCACCACGGAGACACAAGCCAACTAGCCGTCGGAGTGGCATTGAAGCAACCACATGGCAACGCTCCTATGTACTAGTGAATGAGTGAAACCAGGCACAAGTGGAATTACCTGGGCTCAAGTTCTGAACCGAGGCTCTCAACGAGTAGCAGCGCTCCGCCCAGGCAAAGACATCGGCGTGCCTTGTCCAGCATCGCCTGCAGGATGCAGAGGGGATCCAGGAATCAGCTTAGCTTTCCCCGCAACGGGCGTTCCGACGACAAACTGAGCTCCGGAGGATCGGGAAAGGCTTTCGCTCTCGGGAGTGGTCCGAGTTGCTCGACGGAGCTCCGGTGTCGGCAGGAAGGACAGAACCTAGTCCAAAAGCAAGGGCAGGCACGTCGAGTTTCTTACACAAAATGTCTGGCGCTGGAAGCAGATGGGGATGGGGGCTGTCCAAGAAGGGACCACCGAAGGGTAACAAGCTGCTCCGAGCTGCACCCCGGGCACGGCCGCTGCAAACCCTCACACGTCGCTCCACCTGCAACTTCCTTGAAAGACCGTTCCTGCGGTTACGATCCTTTCTCTCGGCATGGCATCCTTCTAAGACCCCTGCCAGGCTCATGACCACTGCGTGAAAGCCTTCAGCCTCACAATGCTGGAACATGAAATCCTTTGGACGCGGAGGTGCTTGATACTGCAACTAGGGCAGGGCACCTTGAGAGATTTCAGGCGGCCCGAGGCATCCAGACTGTGGAGCTCTTTGGCCTGGAGGACACACAGCATGGCAGGGAGGGGACCTGGCTTGAGCTTTGCACCCACTTGACACCAGGAGAACATGATAGGCTGCCATCATCTCCTTGTGATTCGCTGAGTCATGTTTTCAAGGTGCTTTTGGAGTGCTCGCAGAAGCCACGTGAAAAAACTGACTGGAACAGGAAGCCTTCTACTCCTGCTTCTGCTACTGCTGCTACTACTACTGCTACAGTACTACTACGACGACGAACTCCGGAGTCCTCGACCACGTCCAGCTGCAAGAAGTCACCGGGCAGGACCTCCGGATGTGCCGGAGCCAGGTCCTCACGCTTTGCTTCGTCTCTCTTTCTGAGTCTTTCTCTTTCCACTTTCTCGGCTTAAGGCTTCAAGGCCTCGGAGCTGTGGGGACATCGACTAGTGCCTCCGGCAAAGGAAGGCGAGTCTTCGTGAGGATGACTCAAAAGGCTTGAAGGCAGTCTCTGTGAGGAGACTGTTCTTTTTGGAATCGAGGTGTTAGGCGATTTGTTCAGGGATGCATGGATTCTGAGGTCCGGCGGTGTGAGATTTGCATCGGCCAACGGGGGAGCTAAGCGTGTTCCAAGTTTTGAAGTCACATTAAGTCTTCCGGTCAGCTCAGGCTGAAAATCGGTAGAGTAGGCTTTCTGCTGCGTTTAGGGTTTAAGGGTTTAGGGTATAAATAAATAAACAAATAAGTACGTACATACATACATACATACATACATACATACATACACACACATATATATATATATATATATGTATGTATGTGTATATATATATATGAAACCACCAGACAAAGCAATTTCATCACTTTGCAGCGGCCCGAGAGTCCAGAGCAACGACGCGCATGCCACGCCCGCAAAAAGCACCGTAACTGCTGCCGACATCCAGCAGACCTCTCCAGAAACAAACACTGCACTCAATCTGCTATTCGGAACATTTTGACATTAGTGGCGGCAAGAGTAGGGCTAGGGTGTCTCCTGGACAACTTGGACTTCGAACAGGCAAGAAATCAGGGCAGCTTAGTGCTGCTGGGCCGCAGAGTTCTGTCCACTGTGGCATGCCTTCGGGGAGGTGAAAAGCATCCGTTTCAAGCAGTGCTCGAAATTCAATACTCGCCTGGTGACTGCAGCTCGTCCAAAATCCAGGCGACGGTCGCTTTGGACCAGTCTTTGCCTATCAAAAAATGACAAAATGCCACACTTCCTGCGCCTCTCGAGCCCACATCCACTCCTACTTGATGCCAAGCCACTGCCGACAATTGGGGCGCACTGTCCTTACTGAAGTGAGAAGTGCCACAACATAAGATGGTTCTTTGGATGGCATGACGATTCCTTCGTGCCCTGGACACCCGAGAACCTGTGACACGCCAATATCAATAGTCATACAAGTCTCGATAGGTTTCCAACTCTTCGTCCGTCAGGCGCACTTCTCCTCAGCGTGCTCATGGGAGAGGGGCTATAGTACTATGTCGCAGACTTCACTGCATTAACAGCGACGAGCTCTTCCGCAATTGGGCTGCGCCACGGCTCGTCGCTCCCGCAAGCGCCGGTGGATCTCATCCAGAGATGCAAAGGCATCCTTCCTGCGTTGCAGAATGCCGTCAATTCGGACTGAGGCCAACAAATTTGTTCCTGAAGGTATCACCATGCAAAGCAATGATGAATCCCGACGCTTTCCCCATGCAACTGGAATCGTCTTCCCAGCCTGGCGCTCTTCTGCTGTAGCAGTCCTGCACAGATGGGTCTCAGTTCAGGGCCCAAGGCTGGTAGGGCTCGCATCTCGGAGGGAGTCAACTTCAAGACACGGTGCGGTGTACAAAAAGAAGCTTCAGAAATCAACGGCCCTGAACCCACGATGAGCATCTCTTCGATGCCTGCGGAGAAGCTTCAGACACAAGCTCCCTGAAAACCTAGACAGGCAATGGAACCTATCTCCCGACGATTCAGAACTGTTTGCCCCGCCCCTCTCAATTTGGGGGATTTGGGAATCCTCGCAAAAGGCCCGGCAGATCTTCTTCCGGGGCAGCCAGGACCTGGCGATTCCATTCTCAGCGTGAGGGGCCTAGAGTGGTGGGTGGTTTTTATGGTAACAAAGGCATGGGATAACGGTTTGGGGATGCAGGACTACAGGACTTTCCAGCGGGCTGCTGTTCATGCAGAGACTCGCTCGGCATCTTTGCGGCATCTCTGTCTAGGAACAATTTCATGTCCGGGTCCACCCAGTCGGGGCGCCTCTCTTGTATCTCCTGCAAGAACGAATCAAGCTTCCTCACCTTGAGCGCAACTTCGACAGCACCGACATGTCACTCGCCTGTAACCTGAATTCTGATCTGGGGCATGGCAGGCTTGCAAAGCACCGCAAAGGCCCGAGCAGTCCTGTGCCAAGGCCATGCCAACCAATCTGAATTGCTGCCGCGCCTCTCCTGAAGATGAGATCTGAATGTAAACTCTAGGAGGAATGTTGGAACTACAGTGGTACACCATGCTTTTCGTCATCAACTTGACACTCGAGAACCCTGTTCCACCTAGATTGGCCTCTGCATACGACGAGACTCGAATTGCAGGCTGAGCAGCTCTCGGACATCGTCTCGCCAGCGACTGCGAGGGCATGTATGTGTATATTGAAACAAATAACTAAATGTGTATATATATATATGTGTATAACCATATAAAAAAATACATGTGTGTATGTGTATGAAGACATGCATGGCCCCGGGTGGTAAAATGATGTGGAAGCCCGGAAATGCATTTACCAAGGGAAATCTAGCAGCCAGCCGTGCACAACTGACACGGCATACATGCTGGGGTTTCGCATCCACTCAGACAAATTTGAAATTCGGGGCTGTCTCGCCCCCCCCCCCCCCCCCCACTTCCCATCCACCCGGCATGGAGGTTTCACGTCGCACGTTGCCTCACTGCAGTGCTTATGACCAGAGTCTTGCCAGTCCATCCAGAGGTGCCAACACTGCACATTTTCGTACGACCATACGGCACGCACTGCACCGCCGTGGCTTTGGTACAAGAGGGAGTACAAGCAGAGACGATATGCTTTGTAAACAGCACAACCAAGACCAAACACTCGATTTAACTTTATGCGTCGTTGCGATTACAAACTCACTGCCGGTCCAGACCTTCGGCCTCCCCGTTTCCCTGTAGCTCACGCAGCCTTCACAATGGAGACTTTCGATGCCTTTCAAATTCTGGACCCCGGGCCATTCTGAGTTACTGAAAAACCACAGCCCTGCCAACTTCGAACCCCAAAGGTACTCCCCCCCATACAAAGAAAAGGTCCCTTAATCAGCTTCCTACATTAAACCCTAAACGCCTACTTTTTTCCAACTGAGGCCATCCAAACTCTAAACCCTAAAACCCTAAATCCTAAACCCCTAAACCCCCTAAACCCCAATGCTCCCAATCCTTTGCAGCCAAAGCGCCCCGCTCCGCCGCGAGGGCCAGGGCCAAAGGCCGCTGCGCTGGGAGCCCCGGCCAGGCCTCCGCAAAGCACCGAGGCTAAAAGAGAAGAGAGACCTACTGCGTTATACATATATATATATATATTATTTACAAGATGTTTACAATTATTTATTTATCTATTCATTTCTTTGTTTATTAATTATAGATGTCTATACAAAAAACCAATCAATACATAAACAAACAAATCAATAAGAAAAGACATATATATATAGATATACGATCGGCTTGAGAAGTTTGGTTTGAGGGCGTACCAGGAAAAAAACATCATGAGTATAGTTACTCTGAGCATCTTCTGTGGATCCGGCGTCGCGGATTCGAAGGCCGGAGGGGTGGGTCAACACAATTTCCGCGCAATGTTCTGTTGGCTTCTTGGCTAGTACCTTGCAGGATCTCAACCGATGGCTCTCAGTGGTGGGCTGTTGACCATCAAACTCATTTTGGCGGGCATGAAGCAAACAAACAAACGAACCTGACTACGATGCCTTAGCAGAGCCTTAGCAGTGCCCACACTAACCCGCCAAGCCTCTGCGAATCGCCGCTGTAGGAAGCAGCGCAGGTCTTGGACAAACACACGTGCATGATCTTAATAACGTCATGGACTTAGAGAATACTCGAGTTCGTTGGCCAAGCCAAGGTCTGAGGTGTCGCAGGCCGTATGATGCGCTCGAGCATTTTAACTCGAGATAGTGATGATTCGGTCCGAGAATCTGTCCGCGCGACTGCGCCCATCGCTCATGGCCGGGCTTCCATTACTACACCACTAGACGGCAAGAAACATCAGTATCTCGTTACAGTGTCACTTCACGGCTGGTGAAAAAGGAATGGCAGACTGCTCAGAGATTTCTGTTTCAAGGTTGCCGAAGGCTGGATTAATGGTGATGTGACGTGTAGACTTGATTAGATGCGTTGCACCATCTCGCAGTGCACACCAACTTACTCCACTTCTGATGCATCACCATATTTGAGCAGCGATTCTGTGCAACTTACGCTGCAATCCAGCGTCTTTTCCTTGGACTACGTGGCACTGTGGCCTCGGCAGGTGGGTTCCGGAGACGAGAGGGAACCAGGTGGTGACCAAGGCCTCAGGCAGCTTAGAGGCTTTCGAGCTTTGATGACCGGCGCAAAGAGGCTCGGAAGAGCAGTTGGGCCTTCCAGAAGTCTTTGAAGTCCACGCTGCCGTCTTGGTCAGAGTCGAAGACCTGCGCACAAACGCCACCTGCTGGTTTAACTCAGCGACGCACCAGCATCTAACTCAACAAATAGCCCGTCACTGCCAACCACTAGGTCACTAGGGCCGCACCTCCAGCATGTCGTGAACCTGCTCTGGGCTTGCCTGCGCAATGGCTCAGGCTGCTTTGGCTGTTAAACACCACTTGGCTTCTATGCCGCAGATGACCACGTGGCCTCGACACCCACACGTCGTAGCGCCCGCTCGAGCTCCCCAGCATCAATGCCTTTGCGAGTCCAGCTGTGATACAACTGTATTTAGGATGTTCCACAGATGACCCGAAACTTAAGAGGTGGAATGAGGTGGATGTGGGGCAACGGCTGATTCCAGCAACGCGTGCTGTGTCATGTCAATTACCACCATCATCAAAGCTTCGCTCGCACCAGCTGCTGGAGTTTTACTCGGCCCTACTATTACCTCTGCCACTACTCCCGCAGCTGCTCATGATACTACTGCTGCTGCTGCTGCTGATCCTTCTGCTAGTCGACGACCACTACTTGCGAAGCTGCTACGGCTACACCTGTTCTTGATGCTACGAAGGAACGATCAAAGCAGGAACCCGGATCAGAACTACCACCAAGACTCCACCACCACCACCACCACCACCACCAACAACAACAACAACAACTACTACTACACCACCACCAACACCAGCACCAAAACCAGCACGACGACGGCGACGACGAAGGGGACGACGACGACTGCTACTACTGGTACTATACTACAGCTACTGAGCTACTGTTCTTCACCCCCACCGTCCGACCCACCACGATGACACTGCACTCCCAGCGTGTTCGGTACACTGTCTCTTGTAAAGGTAATTTCAGTGCTAATGTGCAGGCCGCGGGCGGCCGTTTCCATCCGCATCGATGCCGGCGAAAAGCTCGGCACCCGCGTTTGCTGCCTCAGAGAACGTCAAGACTGCCAAACCTCCGATTCAATTGCAATGACGATTTTTGCGAGGATGGTCGTTCTACGATCCAACTACAATTCGTGAAAGCACCTGCTGATATAGACAGATACATACCTGCATGCATCGATAAAGTCAAACACAGTCATACACTAGCATACTAACATGCCCCAACTTAATACATACCGGTGTTGCGGGTAAACTACCGTATAACACACGCTCAGCTACAGTCACTTTGACATCCACTTGCTAAAAATGTCCTGTATTTATATTTTTACAGTCCATCTACCCTCATATGCCATGTTATGCTACACGATATTTCATTGCATTACAGTATGTTACAACATAATGTGACGCTACCATGCTGGAAATACTGTTGAAATACATGTTCATGTTAACTTTGAGGTTGTGCAGATATGCAAAACTATGCAAGTATGTCACTATCCGCTATCCTGATTTGACAATTGTCGCAAATTTTGGGAGATGCGCCAACACGGCTCTCGGGGGACATGCCGAAAGGCCACCTGACGAAACAGACCGTAACCCAAAGCTGCACAAGCCCGACTTCCTGAGTAGGACATTGGTGCATTGTGGTGTATTGGCATATGTCCCATTTTCGGGCCAATATCATGGATGCAGTACGGGTGCATGTGTAATGTTCGCGTCGATACTGCAAGTATCGCTGTATGTGGGGCAATTTGAATGCCGACATGAGAGAGAGAGAGAGAGAACAACCCTCGACAAACAGCCAAAGCTATAACATGGGTTAGCAAGTCTGATCATGCTCACTTCTTCATTTTTCACTTCGTTGGCATCACACGAAACAAGCGCATCTTTAGGGTTCTTTGGGCGCCCATTCTTCGCAAATATGGGCAGAAGGTGTCCCTTCTGCATCTCACAAAAAAAATCCAGCCATCTTCATTGGCAGCAGAACTGTAGTATTCCCTCGTGCCCCCTGCCTTGGCAACAGGGCTGCACACACACACAGACACACAGAGCTGCCGCAAAACGGGGTAGCAAGCCACATCAGATCTGGACATGTATCAGACAACCATACAATCCCTTGCTCACGCTTGCAATCACATGCATTTCGACTTCAACGTGCGGGGTAAGAAATGCTTCTGCATTCGCAAGACTCAACTGCGACTGTGAGATGGATGGGCAAGCAAGAAACAAGTCATCTTCTCCAAACGTAGTTGACAAGCAAAAGAAAGCAAAATAAACCAGAAAAGCACGGTAACAATGAGTTAGAGAAGGTAGAAAACAGTCGAGACGGTGAAGTGAACGGGTGATGAATCAGTGACATAGAACAAAAACTTGAGGCAAGGGACGGAAGGAGTCACCAATTAAACAAGCTTGAAAAGCAACGGACAACAGCGGAAAGCGCTTGACAAATCATGCCAAGTGTTTGGCCTGCCTCAGGTGACCGGTTTTGTTATTGTGGGTCTGCGAGGGAGTTCGCAGGCAAGTAGAAGAACATGCGCATTGCTGGTCCCAGGTTTGCTATGTAGGCGAAAGCATTGCTAGTCTCAAGATTAGTATATATGTAGGTGAGAATGTAGCGCAGAAGTATGTAGATCACAAATTCACGCTGTCCCGACATCTGAATCAGCATCTATTTACCAAAGTAGGTTGTTAATCATGTTCATCTGTCGCGGTCATCCTCCGGCCACGGAGCTTTCTGAATGAAGCTGGGGCCGCAAGACTGGCTCTACGACAGATTTCCAGCCGGATCACACTTTGCAGCGACCCTCGAAAAAATCGGAGCCACAACATGGGTTGGTAAATTATCTCGCTACTGTACTTGAACACTTCACCTGCTTTCCAATTTGATTATGCCCGCTTCTCCTTCTTCTCATTTCCTTGGCCTCATACCACACAACACGTTGGGCAACCGTTTTTTGCAGGTACATGCATGCGCACGAGACACCTGTCTGATGTTCCAAGCGACCCCTCCCTCAACGCAGCCTTCGAAAGGGGCCGCGACAAATGCCCGCAAGCAATGTTCGCTCAGCAGTGCATGCTGTTCCGGGCTTCGAGCGGCATCAGTCATGCCGACCTGTCGTCCGCCGGCCTGGCTGGCAGAGTACAAACTCATGCATGTGCATTGCGCAAATAGATGCTCAATCACTGATGGTGACTCAAAACCACGTTCACTTCTCAATCGCTAAGGAATCTAAGGAGCTGTGCCTTGTACTCCCAATGCCCGCAGGACCCATATTCGGCCTGGCGGTGCCTCGGGGCTGCAAGGGCTTCCTCGACCATCATCACGAAAAGTACGAGTAGAAACGGTGCTGCTCACACCACATTGCTGAGCTTGTGGCATCTCCTGAGTGCGGATCTGGACCTTTCATGGGCTGGCAGCTCCACTGAATCGTGACATGTCTGTTGGTGCATGCAGGCCCTTCACCCTGGGCACTCAAACAACACTTAAGGCAGAAAACGTATCGGCGTCAAACCGTTGTTGCAACTCAGCATGTACTGTAACTTGTGAATGCAAGCTCATCCAAACCACCCTCAAGACGCACCTTTTGAATTGGCATCTTTACATGGGCACACCGCTCTGAGAGCTATGGCCATCGTGGGCAGGAGTCAGGATCACCCCTACTAGACCTGCCCTCGGCCAGCCTAACATCTCAAATGGCTCTTTGGGTGCGCAAGATTTGGCAACTTTGCAGGAAGGATCTCGAAAAGGGATGAGTGTCCATTCGAAATGAAAGGGCTGTACAAGGTTGCGGCCATCCAATTCTATGCCTGTACATTGCTAAGCTGGGTACGGTCCTGTAGCAGCTTGGGGTCTCTATGACCCGAAAGCCCTCAGACTGTGTCGGCATCGGAAAGCCCCAAAGGCGCAAAGCCCACCCTTTGCTTGACAAGCGCCGGCACCTCCCAGAGTTGTCTTCTTCTGACTGAGACTTCCAACTTCTAGCAGCAAAAGTATACGCTTCATTTCTGGGTTCTTTGGCTGCTGCCTCGCAGTGTACTCGCGGGGCGTTTACTGTTCAATTGGCTTTCTCTGGCACCCATGCTTCTCGAATGTCAGGAACTACGGCTGAATGGGTGTGTCTGTGGTGTGTCCATCAGTTCGAGTGTCGCGTTCCAACGGACAGAATCGAGAGAGCATCATAGTTCAACAGACAGCACACATGATTACATGTTTAACATGCTTCTACGTGCCTCATCATCATCCTCAACGCTTCGGGGCTGAGGCGGCTGAGGCGCGACATCCCTTAGGCGCTCTCGTCCTTGGTGCACATCCAATGTCCCAACACTTCCGCTTGCGCTGTGAAAATTGTGGCAGGGTGCTTACATCCGTTCTCCGCTGGCTAGATTGAAGCTTGTGGGCCAGGTCGGCCCGGGACTGCTTGAAGCTCCGAACACAAATCCGAGCACAGCGGCACTGTGCTGCATGTCTGCAGTCTCCGAGTCTTCCGGTCCGTACATGCTGTGGTCCTGCGCACGAAGGCCGGTTTCTACTTGTAGCCTCTTGCGCAAAAGCTTCCAAACAAGAGTCGGACTCCACAGACAATTTGATACACTTGTTCTCGTGATTCGAACAGCATGAACAGCTTGCCGGTCTCGTCAAACGTGATCACAGCAATGTGGCAACGCTCCAGCACGACGGCGATGATGACACCGGAAAGGGAACCTGACAGTGTCACAGGGGCAAAGCATCAAGCTCGGCCTCATTAGGGCCTATCCTGGGCTCCGCAGATGCCCACATAGCTTGGCAAGGCTTTCAACTGAAATGTGCGGTGCGCATGAACAGCGGCAAAGGAGCCAAGCATCGTGGTCCAAACGCAGGCCCAGTTCCTGCGCGGGCCAGGCTCGCAGGCTGTCGTACAGATTGAGCACAAAAACCAGGCCATTCTACGCTCCGAGCAGCTGTAAACTTAAGGCAGCAAGAGCCAACAAGACGAGGATTTGTTCGCTTCGTTGTGCAAGTCTGTTTGGCCTATTGCTTCTTACTCAAAACCTGTAACTGCACCTGAACTTCAAGCGTCTTGGTCCCAAGGCTCTCAGGTCCACGAGTCAAACTCTGGGCGCATTTCCTCCACCTCTCTTCCGCTCTCCTCCTCTCTCCTCTCCTCTCCTCTCCTCTCCTCTCCTCTGTCATCACCTTGGCTGGTGAAGGTGGCATATTCTTCAACTCTCCGCATCGGGCATCCTC